TTACTATTAGAGCTGGCCTACTGGTATTATACAGCTAATATATATATATATTGTTTAGTATTATGCTTTGCCTGTTCCATATTCAGTTTTTCAGCAAAACATATTTGAGTCCATAAGAAAAGATTCATTCTTATATCTGGAGGAAGATTTTTTTTTCAATAAATATTAATGTTAGCTCGCGACTTTGTTCCATTTTGAATTTTGGCCCACTGTTTATTTGAGTTTGACACCCCTGATCTAAAGGATGTGGACTGGTTTGGGTATTTGACTAGGAAGCCTCATGGATGCCTCCTGAACAAGGTGCTTCAGGCATCTTCATCCATGCATGGATGAATGCATGGATGGATGGATAGATGGACAGCGACGGGTCCCTCAAAAACACCTGCCAAATCGTACATACCGTAATTGTCGGGCTATAAGCCGCTACTTTTTGCACAAGCTTTGAACCCTGCGGCTTTTAGTCAGGTGCGGCTTTTCTATAGATTGTCTATGATTTTTGTGATATCGTAAGACGATTTGTTTTGTTTGTTCCGCTGTTGTACGGCACTACGTTGCCTGGTGGAAGGATCGGGGTTCAAGAGTGGTATGTTGGTCACATGTCCATCCGCCAGGCAACATAGTGCCGTACAAGTAGCGCGAAAAACAAACTTCAAAGTAGCGCTATGCGTTCAGCAGGAGTCGTGGATGACCAGCGGCGATAAACTTGCGAAAAGCAAGTTGTGCTCAACTCTACCGGTGGATTCTGACAGCGTGGAAAAGTGTGCAAACATCCACGATCACCAACGGATTTCGAAGGGCTGGACTGCTGCATGATGAAGAGGAGGACACCGCCATGGCCCTTCAGAGGGTGTTCGACTCTGACACTGACAATGACAATGAGGATTATCTTTGGTTTTGAAAGTGACAACGAAGGAAAGAAGCTGAGAGTGGATGACGAAGCCATCCTGAGCCTGTTCGTTTCCGACACTGGAGAAGAGGACTTTGGTGGTTTTAGTGCGCAGGAAGATGGTGGTGAATGACTGACTTTTCTTCTTGTTAAAGCCGTGTCACTGCACCTGAGCCTAAAAGGTAGTCTGAATCTATTTTTCTGGTGTGCTGTAGGTTACTGTTATGTACTACATTTGTTACTCATTTATGAAGCACAGCACATGTGCAAATATGTACCCATAACTTGATTTTCAAAATATTAATAAAAGGGGTGTGTCTCCAAACAGCCATCTCTTTCCTGACAATTCGCTTTGTGCATATTCTCTTACATATGATAAGTCAATATTGAAACACCTGTGGCTTTTGGTCAGGTGCGGCTAATGTATGTACAAAACAGGATTTTCCCCTGATTTTAGCTTGTGCGGCTAATATTCAGGTGCGCTTTGTAGTCCGGGAAATACGGTACTTATTTTGTTAAAGGTACATTGCTATAGCCTTTGTTCAATTTCTGTGTTAATTTGACTGTTAACATGCTTTTCCTTGATGCTTGAATGCTTCCCAGACACTCATAAAAAGAGTAGACTAATTATTTTGCATCCCTTTTACATCTCAGTTTTAGAAACAGTTTTCAGGTAAGCTTATTGGTTTGTATCATTTTTCTAAATCAACTTTGTATTTGAATAAACATGGTGGCCAAATGTTTTTTTAACTTTTCTGGTCCGAAATTATTGTTCCAGTCTGCCACATCAGACTTTTTGGCATTATTTGCTAGTGTTTGATTTTACAGCTTGAGAAGGACCAAGCCTTCATTTTAAGAAATTGTGTTTTCTTTACATAAATTGTGTAAAGAAGGTAAAAAACAAAATCCTCAGAAATATTAGTATTAGTAAAAAAACTTTGTGCATATCACAGATACTCTAGCATTTCATTTATGAAAGTTTCAAACACACTAGTTAGTGTACTCATTTCCACAAATGTATCCTTCTAGTTTATGGATACACATACATGGGTATTTTGTTTAAAAACAGTGATTTTCCGCTTTGTTTTTGAAAATATCTCCATGCATACAAAAGCACAAAAAGCAGCATCAGGCACAACCAAGAAAAACCAAAGTATAATACAATAATACAATATAATAAAATATATAATACAACATGGTGCACTGTCTGATGTCAACAAGTTTTTATAAAGTTTTGAGTGACTTGTCATTTATATATTGATGAAAGGCCAAAGTGTGTAGAAAAAGCTGAATTTTCCTTAAAGTCCAAAGTTTGTATGTTAACATTAGTAGTCTAATAAGTAGATGTGTTGTCGTGTTAACTGACTGACAGTAATAATAACTGCATATTTACTGTGTTCTTGGGGCACGTGTTAGCATACATGCTAATTAGCGCTGAACATAAAGTACATCACGGCAGTTTACATATGTCAACAACTCAAAGTTTTAATGACAATACCAACAAAAACCAGTCATACAAATTGACTGGTCTTTATGGGTTAACTGAACATCTTCTTTCCTAACTTTGGACTTTCTTTTTTTTTAAGTGGAGGCCACATTCAGGCATAAGCACTGATGGATCAGAAGCCTGAAGAACCACCTCCCCTCTCAGTTCATGACCAGTGCGACAAAAGACCTGCTTCGCTTCTGCGTCACGGACCTGGAGTCTCAGCTTCTTTGTTACTGTGGTCACACTGGAGCTTGCTTCATAATTCAAATGGGATGACAGGATATTAAGAATGCAAATAAGAGAAAGTAATGACTGATAAGACCATTGTATTGTCAATGATATTAGCTTTTATTGGTGAAAGTGGTAAGATAAAATTACTTACGGTTCAACCAAATTTGTAATATTTTTATTTTTTTAACTTACAAATGCATTCTTTGGGCTCATGGTCATGGTGGCCACTGCCCATATAAAATACTATGTAAACAAAATAATACTATCCATTGTTTCTCGTGGACCTGTGGTATGCTATGTAAATACTGCTGTACAAAATAGGGACAGTAGAATTAAACGTATGTCAAACATATATTCTAACAAAAAACACTTTCAAAGTTAGAAGTATTTGCTTTGGTCCTCTTGTATTAAGTATAATGTGTTGTAATGATTGGGTAACGCTAATGAGGTGCAGGTAGTCAAATGTGCCTGTTTTCACTAAAGACATTTTGACATGTCACAGTGAGAAAATCACAGGTGAAAATTATACAGTTAATGACACCTGAATTTCATTTTCTGACTTGGTTTGTTCAGTTACTGCTTGGTGCTTTTGGTACTGTGATAATTCCAAATGTCTGCTGTGAAAAAAGACATAGTCAAACAGGAACATATCATTTATCATCCAGTTACTGTGGGTACAATCAAACTGAGGTATGTGTAGGGTTTTTTGTTTTTTGTAATTTTATTCTTTTAATTAAAAGCAATATAACGTACTTAGGCATTTCTTTAATCATCTATTCTGCAAGCAAAGCAAACACAAATGTATATATTTTTAAAGTCGTCTGTCAAAGATCTGTTGGAAAGACAGTAAAGCATGTTTGCAGAAAAGCTGTTAACACAACAAAACCTTGGATGGTGTAACAGCTCCTTCATGTGGCATAAAGTGCATATATATTCAAATCTTTTTTTAAAATAGACAAGAATGCCATTAAGTTATTTTGTCTACATTGTCATCAGTGTCAAAAAACCCCCAAATCAGACATTTGAGTTGACATTTTTTCTTTTTTCGCTTCCTTCATCTGGTTAAAAGGTACTCGTCTATGTTGATATGTGCATTTTTAAGCATATGCTTGACTATGGCTGCCATAGAATATGAAATTGTTGCTGACCATGAATAAAAGAAATGTTTAAAATGTTGTCAAATGATCTCCGCATAGATTTGTGTGTCTTTATTTAACCATTAAACTGTTTTAATTATGTCTGCAGTGACGTGTTAGAGCTTAACACCATCACTTTCTTCAAATATTTCACTAAGGATGAGGTACTTATGAGTAAAAGTAAAATAAATAAGTGTAAAAATAATGTGATGCAAGTTTTGAAAAAATAGATGTCTTTTACATTTAAGCATTAGGCTAAACATTGATGAGGTTTGGTTACTGTGTAACTACACCCTCACTACACAGACTGGAGGTTGAGGCCCATGACGAATACCACATGAATCTATAGGTCCCTGCTATTTTTTCACCGTGGTGAGAATGAGGGAGCACTGAGGAGAGACGGGAGGAGAGAAGTGCAACCCTGCAACTTCAAAGACACAGCACAGCAGTATCAAAACTTGGAGATAAGGGTGGGCTCAATTTTCAGGGAGAAACTGAAGCTTCATCTGTCACCAAGTGGATCCGCAGAGGTCTGGAAGAGCTATGCAGAAAAAATATGGATGACTTGGATAAAACAAAGGATATCTTAAAGCTCTGTATGTCAATCCACATTAGGACAGAAACATAGAAGACCAAAAACATGGAGAATGTGAATGGATGTACTAAAGCTGCTGAGTGAATCTTTCTTTGCACAAGCAAAGCAACTTTTATTTTTAAGAGCCACACAGCACTCTATGCTAATATAGGAGAAAGGATTATTTTTTTGCCCTGCTGTGGAGACTGCTCTGGAGGTGTCAGCCAGTTAAGCCTTCTCAAGCACATCTTAGCACAGGAGGGACTTTCTATCAGGGACTTTGAGCACAGTTTGTCCAGCTAAAAGGCAGTGCTGCTCCCCACTGCTCTTAAATAACCCAGCTTGGATCTGCTTAAGTTCTACGCCCAACTGAAAACATCTCTTAAGTCTGGGGTGTTCATATGACTTAAATCTTTGCTGGAGTCTTTATTGATCACGAACTTATTTGGGAATAAGCACTACAAGTTGGAAGGAACTGTGTTGAATGTTTCATTTTAACAGAAATATTTGACTGTAATGTCCACTGGCATCTTCTTTCTGCAGTTCACCTCACACTGTAATGTTTCCACAGAGATGAAACCTTTCCTGTGAGGTAAGAGTCAATAATCTTGTGTAAACTGGCTCCTCAGTTTTGTAGCCTGACCTCTGACCTCTCTGAACTGCACTGAACTGCATGAACTCAAAATGAACTGCACTTTTAATGCCACCTTAACTCCCCAGCTGGGTCTTGGATTGAGCCCAGGGACAGGAGCTGACGAGTCCCAAGGGAGTGGTACTGGTGCTGGAGGTAGTGGTGGCTTGTGGGTGACATTCCTGCTTGGTACTACACTGATTATCATGTGTGTCGTGGGCATGTCCGGCAACACATACACACTTATTGTTACACGCTCAGCTGCTTTGCGACGCACAGGTTCTATGTACGTTTACATCATTAATTTAGCTCTGGCTGACCTGCTGTACCTCTGCACCATCCCTTTTGTAGTCTGCACCTACTTTGCCCACGACTGGCTGTTTGGTGAGGCCGGATGTCGCATCCTACTGAGTCTCGACCTCCTCACCATGCATGCCAGTGTCTTCATTTTGGGTGTTATGAGCTTGGAACGGTATCGTGCTGTGGCTAAACCCTTCAGTGCACACAAGACCTCGTCCCGCAACCGACGGCTAGTGTCAGGAATTATTTGGGGGTTATCTTTTCTGCTAACGCTTCCCATGATGGTGATGATCCGACTCAGGGAGGGCAAACCCACTGTGGCTGGTTCAGTCAAGAGAATCTGCTATCCAACCTGGACCCCTGAGGCCTTCAAGGCTTATATCATTGCCCTGTTTTTCACCAGTGTTTTAGTCCCTGGATTGGTAATTGTTGGACTGTATGCAGGGCTAGCTAGGCGCTACTGGGTAGCACAGGCTAACTTAGGGGGTAGCAGCCACTCTGCCAGAAGGACACGACTCAAACAAAAAGTCGTATCAATGATCTTTAGCATTGTGGTAGCTTACTGGACTTGCTTCTTGCCTTTTTGGGGATGGCAGTTAGCCAAACTGTTCTCTCCAGAGTCCCTCAAAGCTTTGTCTCCAGCTGCTCATAATTATGTAAATTTCTTTGTCACATGTCTCACGTATGGAAACAGCTGTATAAATCCATTTCTCTACACTCTACTGACTCGGAACTACAAAGATTATTTAGCACAGAAAGGACAGTCATCAGGATCCAGCAGGGCTGATCCCGGGTCAGCTGTGACAACCCCACTGCAGGACTTTTAGTGAATTAGCATTAACTGTTACTTATAGCCTGCATTCAAGCGATCTTCTTCTGATCAATGTTCCATTTGCCAGAACTGAACTGGGAAAGAGGGCTTTTACTTATGCTGCCCCTTTTACATGGAACATGATGCAAAAAGACTGGAAGATAGCATATCTTATTTCATTAAATGCTTTTAAGTCCAAATTGAGAGAGCCAGAGAAAAATGTTTTTTAAAATGTAATTGTTACTTATAACATGTATGTAACTTTGTAATTTTAACATGTTGTCGCCTCTTGGCCAGGACTCCCTTGAAAAAGAGGTTTTTAATCTCAATGGGACTTTTCCTGGTTAAATAAAGGTTAATAATACTAAACTGTCCAGTCATAATATGTTTTGATTCAGAGAGGCCATTTTTTATTATCTACATTGAGTTGACCCAGCTAAAACCTAACTTCCTCTCCTGTCTTAAAGAGAGAGTTAACTAGTCTTGTTAAGGTTTTGTGGGTTTTGAGAAAGTAGAATTAGCTGAATTAACCAAACTTGACTGAATGCATTTAATAAACTAGACATTTAGCTGAATCAAATGCATTTCAATCACAATGACAAACATGGTTCTGACTCCATTTACATTTCCTCAGTCTGACGAATCAGGTTAGGACGAATCATCTTATCAACTTTGTTCATTTTGTACCAAATTACATGAGATATCTCAAATGTTAAATAATGAATAAAATTATAAGTGCAGAGAGGCATGGACTAAACTGACTAGAATTCACTGTGTTCATTATCTTTCTATTTGTTATGTTCTGTTGAGCAGATAGACATCTATGATTTACTGATATAGAGGTTGAAATGTGAGTATTTTATCTAAAAAGTATTTGAATTGGCAGTTTAGTACAAAACAGAAAAGTTTTGAAGGCCTTTTTTTTGGACAAAATACTGAACACAAGAAAATGACCAGAAAATGTTCTGCAGTACCTTATCCATTTTAAAAAATCATAAATACTCTTTATATACATTATCCACAGTTTCTGTAATTGATCAAATACAATGTGTAGTTTACAATAATGGAAAAAGTTGGTACCGTATTTTCACATATTTTTACTGTGTAACAATTAAAGTGAAACTGCTGTAAAAACAAAACAATAGAAAAGTGAATGAGAACTGTTTTCATATTTTTGTAATGGCCCAATTTGCCAACAGCTTTACAGACAAATACTTTTCATCTCTATCTATGAAATGTCGTTGCACTGTGCCACATTCCTCAGCCTCCAGATGCTTGTCTTTTGAGTCCTCCTGTAAATTGTCTGTATAAGTGTGTGCTACATCTCCCACCTCACCTCCTTTTCCATGTCGACCTTTATTCTTTTTTTAACCTATTTCCTCATCACATATTAAAGATAATGACCAATACAATTCTGGGTTTTCTTTTTTCTCCCTCTTTTTTAAACTTTGCATAACTTTAAAAAAAGAGGCAAAAATAATAATTCTGCTTTTGAATTACAGACATTGACAAAAATGCGTTGGCATCTTCTTTTAGTGTTTTTAAACACCCACTGCTTTTACTCTTGTACGTTACAATGATATAAAAATTAAACCCTGAAACAGGTCTGAAATATGTTTTAGAACATGTAGGTGTAAATTACATGTGGTGTTTCGTATTTCAGAGGAAGTAAATGAAGAAGACTCTTTTCTTTTAGGGTTTTATTAACAAATCCAGCTTTGCTGAGCTGTCCTCCAACCATAGTAAGGTAAGATGTGCCGGGGCTCCATCTTAAGGCCATTTCCTCTAATTACAACATCAGCAATCTAAAGCAGTTGACATTTCCAGAGTTACTTTTCAGATTTCATATTAGCAGTCAAGCCTAATTTCAGCTATTGAAAAACATGAGAATGTTTTAGCAACAAGCAAAATGTAGAGAGGTGAAGGGTTGGGGCTTAAGAAGAGGTCAGCCTCTACTTCAGCTTGAGGCCGATGATTCTCGCATCACCGCTCACATCGAAGTACTTGTACTTGACATCACCCAGGCGGTTGGGGAAGGTAATCATGCTGCCGTCAGGAAGCTTGATGTAAAATTCCTCGTTGTTGAAGTTGATGTAAAACTGAAGAAGTAAGAAAAAGCAAGAGGGAGAAAAAGAGGTGAATGACATTTATCGTTTGGTTAAAAGGATACCTTTGTTTTTTTGAAGCTTGGGCTCAGACACGGACAGAACCTAAGCTGCTGTGGATGCAGTCAACTGCAAATTTATTTTAGCCATCTATTAAAAAAACAAAAACCCAGGTTATAAATATCAATATCATATCAAGGATCAACTAGGTGACATGAGCACGACTGTGTGTGTCATCCAAGCAGATTTTAAAAATACATGTGGACACAAGTGCTACCCCTCAGCCTCCTTGTAGATACACCTATGGTATACACCTATATCGACCCTTTCTTGAGTTATCGCATTTACAGTCTTGGGTGTCCATGCCGCCTGGCACTCTGGCCGCCTCGGTTTAACAGCGCCAACCATCTCCGGTTGTGTACATGGCTGAAGGCAAGCTAAAACAGTAAGAATCTTCAAATTAAAAAACAAAACAAATCAGATGCTGATATTATATCATTTGCTTCTGACTCTGTCCACAGTATACTGCAGTTAGATGCTTTAACTCCTGCCTCTCCCAAACGTGGCCATGCATGCAGCTATCTACTACAGATGATTCACTGACTATAGATAAGTACTTCAAGCAGATCCCCTTCCAAGAAAGTAAACAGTTCCTTGAATTTCATTGTTACACAACTGTAAGAAAGCTGCAGTTTCGACAGAAAATCCTCCTCCAGAAACATCTGGGGCAATCTTTCTCAACAGCTATTAACTTTTATGGGCCCATAAAGCCTGTCGTGATTACCCGTTGACCTAGCAGCTTACAGCGCAGGCACCAAACCCATTAATTACACCCTGATAGTCAAAGAAATGATAACAGCTTGGAAATGCAGTTCATTTACCCAGGGTGTGCTTTACCTGAATACTCTTTAAATTAAAGTGCAGCAGGTGTGTGTGTGTGTGTGTCTAAGAGTACAATTACATTTTTTAAAGCTATCAGCTATAAAACCTTGCCCATAGAGTGACATGCAAAGATGTTATAAATCAAAGGATCAGCAAATCAAGGCCCTGTCTTAGTTAACGTTATCATCTGACTGATATACACAATTGAGACGTTGTAACTTTTATGAGCTTTCATTTATATTGTGAAATTGGCACTCAGTCCAGTAACACAGATGACTTTGTTCTCTGTCGTCTGGAGAACTGTGTTTTAGCATTTGCATTGATGTTAAACTGGTTATGTCAGTGTGTAAAAGCCTTGCTTCTTAAACCATTCGAACCTCTTCAGAGTGTATTGTGTGTTGGTGACTACATTTTTCAGACGCCACACGTCTTCATACAAACCTTGCATTCTTCTCCACGTCTGAAAGGGAAGTTTGATTCGTGGATCTCGTCACCCCAGCTACCCCCGGATAAAGAGTTGAAGACGATGGTGTTGGAGTCTAACCGGGGATTGAGGTGCATGGCGATGTTCTCACGATCATGACCGATGTTGATGGCAAAACTGCAACAGATGCGGGAAGGAGAGGAGAGGAAGGAACATGAACTCGACTCGCTGCTTCCTGACAGATAACTAAATCGACTTTGCTGTGTGAAATGGACAGGACACTCTCAGCATGAACATCTTAGGAGAAGGTCTCACCTGTCACCACTCTCACCAGGCTTGACACGGACTTTTAACTCCAAGCCCTGCTTGATTGACATATCCTGGATTTTCTGTAAAGGAAAGCGACATAGGAATAGACACATTGAAAGATAAACCAATTCTTGCATTCTTTCAGAGCTTTTTGGTGGGAACTTTAGTTTGCTTCTTAGAAGGAAGACAGGATGAAATAATGATAATAATAATAATAGGAAGATTTCAGTACTCATGCTCATTCTTGGATGATAAAACTCTTCCTTGTAGAAGTGTGTATAGATCTGGTCTATCAGTTTTATTTATTAAATTTTAGGAACTATCTACATGATGGTTTGAGACAGCGGAACTGCCATGAGCAAACTGATGATTAGCGCTTGTCTTATCTTAGCAGTTGATGATCAACCGAGGTAAAACAATGTACCCACGGTTGTAAAATTAACAAAACAGGAAGGTGTCGTATTTGTTCACTGACGTGGTCGCCATAAAAAAAAAAACAAAAACACCCACACAGTGATCTATAGCTCTTCAGACACTAGTCATGTCTAGCATGTCTTTGTACAATATGTGCCCATTAACAATTATACAAACAGAGAAATGAAGTAAGGCTAAATTGATTTTATGTGTTTAAAGATCGATTTCACATGTATACAAATGAGAAACCCAACATGACATTTAAACAATGTTTAACAAAGTCAGTGAACCTGTTCACCTGATCAATAAAGCAATAAACTGTTCTTCTTTTCATCTAATCTTCCTATTTATGTGCTGGGCATCACCTGATGGGCAAACGAGAAGTTCATCATGCTGGACCCTATATTCCAGTCCTCCACCCACAGATTCCTCGGTTTAATCTGCTCACCCATTTCAGATTCATGCTGGTTTATCACTGACTTCACAGGGAATTTGATGGAAGATCATTAAGTCAAGCTATACATTATTAATCCCTCTGTGGGATTTGAATTATTCAGATTATTCAACTGTGACATATGGTAAATCTTAGAATAGGATTTTTCTTCTGTTACCAGGCTGTGACTTGAGAATTATCTCTTATATACTTATAACTGTAAGGTGAGCACAATCAGTTTAAGGGTTACGTATTTTCTTGACTGTTACTTAAAGCCTAAATTTGGTTATAGCCTCAGCAAAATCAAAATCAAAGGGAGATTCTCTATTGTATACAAAACGCATGTTCACAGAATATATGTAGCCATCATCACTTCTATAAAACACGCTCTATTAATATTACTGGTTGATACACAAGCTTTGAGCTTTTTTATTCCTCAGCCTCATTAA